GCCCTCGCCCAGCTCCGGGGCTCCCTCTCTGTGGACGTCCCCCTGGTGCCCGAAGGCCTGCTTACACCTGAGGCCTCTCCAGTCAAGCAGAGTTTCTTCCACTACTCCGAGAAGCAGCAGAATGAGATAGACCGTCTCATCCAGCAGATCAGCCAATTGGCTCAGGGCATGGACAGGCCCTTTTCAGCTGATGCTTGTGCAGGCGGGCTGGAGCCACTTGGGGGGCTGGAGCCCCTGGACTCCAACCTGTCCCTGTCAGGGTCTGGCCCTCCTGTGCTCAGCCTGGATCTGAAACCCTGGAAATGCCAGGAGCTGGACTTCCTGGTTGACCCTGGGAACATATTCCTGGAAGAGGTGCCTGTGGAAGACATCTTCATGGACCTCTCTACCCCAGACCCCAATGGGGAATGGAGTTCAGAGGATACTGAGGCAGCGGTCCCAGGAGGGGCCCTGTCGCCTTGCAACAACCTGTCCCCAGAAGACCACAGCTTCCTGGAGGACCTGGCCACATATGAAACCGCCTTTGAGACAGGTGTCTCAGCATTCCCCTACGATGGGTTTCCTGATGAGTTGCATCAACTCCAGAGCCAAGTTCAAGACAGCTTCCATGAAGGTGAGTCCAGCCCAGAAGTTCAAGAACTCAAGTCCCTGTCCTGCCAGCGAGATACTGGGTGGAATTAGTAAATTCCCCTCTCTGTACCTCAACTTTATTAATGGGATAATATTGTCTGCTGCCTAGGGTAGCAGTGAGAATAAGAACTAATGAAAAATAATCTGGAAATTCCTGACAAGTAGGCCTGAAGGGCAGGGGTTAGGGGTGTGGGATAAATGCAAGAGGATCCTTCACTAATGGTTTCTCCTCCTTAACTCTGTGAAGGACCTAGATCAGCCATCATCACCCTATTTTATAGATGAAGACAATCAAGGTCCCAGGGTTAAAGAAACTTGCCTAAGGCCACACACAAACTGATGGAGGAGGCATCAGAGCCCCATCTCAGTATTCTTACCCCCTAAAGGGGATACAGACTAAGCGTTTGTAGGCATTTGGAAAAGTAAGAGAGGCTGCCTGCTATGGCTCCATCCATGCCAAAACTATAGCCATGGCTTCACTTCATCTGTCCAAATTGCTCCCTTTCCTGCTGAACCGCTGGTGATCATTCAGTCATTGGGCCAACATATTTGAAGCCCATACTATGTGCCACATCCTCAGCATATCTTTCCTAATAGGCCTACTGATTGTCCTCTCTCTCTCTCTCTCTCTCTCTCTCTCTCTCTCTCTCTCTCTCTCTCTGCAGATGGAAGTGGAGGGGAACCAACGTTTTGAATAAGTCTGTGACTTAACGTCGTCAAGTATGGCATATTGTCATCAAGACGTGGAGCTGCTCTCCACCCCCCCGGGACTGTTGGGGGGATTCTAGGGGCTGGAGGGGGATATATCTGATTCCCCAGGCCCTGCAGGATTGGGTGGGGGGAGGAGGGAGGGTTAGGGAGGGGAGCTTCTTTTTAATATTTAGAGACTTCCAGCAATCCCAGTTTCCATTTCAATCTGTATTCACTCGTAGTGAGTTTCCTTGAATGGGATTTCAAGTGGAGAATGGGGGAGTCTCACTTACCCCCTGCGCTGCCCCATGGGCTTGGGCCAGTTCTCCACGCCTGGGGGCCAAGCCACCCCTGGGCCTTGGTGGGGGAAAGGCAGCACCCATTCGGGCCAGCCTGTGCCCCGAGGGGCTCTTGACACCCACGTAGAATTCTCTACACACCAGTAACGGGATTTCAATTCCGATGGACTCTGCCGCCCTGGCGGCCTTCTTGTGACTTTTGCGCCCCGCACCTGGGGTGGGGGGCGTGAAGAGACGCTACGTTTCTTTCCGATGGAGGAAGGCAGACCTGCCGCTGTCACACGTGTGCTTGCACGAGTGCGTGTACCTGGTGCAGGACTCACCCGGCTGCCAGACTGCCTGGGCCTGCCCAGGTGGCCACCTCGTGGTGCTGTGGTGACTTTGTAGCCAACTTTATAATAAAGTCCAGTTTGCCTTTTTGGTACCTCTGGTGTCATGCTGTAAAGAGGGAAGGGGGGGGACCTGAGAAGGTTGGGAGGCCCAGATGGGAGTGTGGGGGTCTGGAAGTAAAGCCTGGACCTGCAGACAGCCTGGCATTTCTTGATTCACTCATTCGCTCATTCCTTTGTTCATGAAACATCTGAATGCACAGTGTGCTGTCCACCCTGTGCTGGAAGCTGGAGAGTTTGGAGCTGAAACAGCAGATGCCACAACTTGCCTTCAAAATGCCAGAGGGTATTGGCATCTCCTCCATGTTCAGGCTTGAAGTGCTGACAGTGTGGGAGCAGCAGAAGGGCCTGGGGATGGGTAGCGGATTCCGCTTGGCATTTTCCTGGGGGTGGGTTGGAAGTCTCAGGACATGAGTTCCTCTCTTCAGCCTGGTCCTGCAGGGAAACAGCTTCCCTTGGTGGCCTGTTGGAAATGATAACCACCTTGCGTGGGCCTTTCAGCTGACAAACACTTTTATATCCCTCATTCACTGCAGCGAAGCCTCTCAACAGGCCTATTAGCGCCATTTCACTAAGAAAAGGAGTGTCACAGGGAAAAAGTGATTTCCCCCGCAGTCGGTGAGAGCCATAAGTGGGCAACACGTCATCTGCATCCAAGCCCTGGGCCGGGTCCTCTGCCCCCAAAGCCCGTGAACCACCATCTCAAATCACCCCGTCCCAGTTACCTGAGAGGGCAGGCTTGAACTGGAGCAGGGAGCCTCTTCCCTCCAGGTCTGCATACTAAAGCTTTCAAAAATACTGTTTTTCTCCGAGCCTGAGGGCCCAACAGCCACAGTGAATGGTAGGGGGGGAAAATGAAAATTAGGAGACAGAAAGGCCTGGATTTAAATTCACCAACGTTTTGCTGAGTGGAACCTGAGCCTGAGTTTCTTCTCAGGTAAATTGGGGCTGGAGTCCAGCCGGTGTGGCTCAGTGGTTGACTGTCCATTTATGAACCAGGAGGCCCAGGTTGTGGGCTGGATCCCCAGTAGGGGGTGTGCAAGAGGCAGCTGATCAATGATTCTATGTCATCGTTGATGTTTCTATCTCTCTCTCCCTCGCCCTTCCTCTCTGAAATCAATAAACAAAAATATATAAGAAAAAAGCACTTCACTGGTGATCGGTGGAGGTGGTGGGTGATAGGAGAGAGTGTGCGTTTTGTTGAGAAGGCAGGTGACTTCAGGAAGAGACCCTGGCCACCAAGTTAGTTGGAGAGAAAAAAATTAGAAGAGCCAATAGCTCCACCTGCTGGACAAAGAAGTGTCTGCTTCTGTTCCTCTCGGAGCTTTATAGCTCAGACCGGATGAATGGATATACTGAGGCCCCGGGAGAGGAAAGGACTCGCCTAATGGCATTCTCACATCTGACTCTCAGCCAGTTCTCTTCCTACGGATACCAGACTCTGCCCTGGGGGCAGAATGTGGGAGAAAGAGCTCAAGTTTTGGGGTCATGAAGGCTGAGTTCAAGTGCTGGCTCTGCAGCCTCATTTCTTCATGTGATAAATAGTATTTACAATACCTACATGTGGCAGTGTTCTGGGTGCTGGCAATACAACAGCGAACAAGGCACAAGGTCCCTGGGCTCCCAGAGCCTGCATTCTAGCTGTGGGAGACATAAAAACTAAACAGTCTGCAAGAAGTGCACAGTATGTCGTTCAGTAAGGGAAAGAACCAGTTCTCTGAAGGCAGGAACTGTGTCTCTCACATTTATTCTGTAGTAGGAGCACTGAGCCCAGTACCTGATAATGAGCCACTCAAAAACTGTTTTGCAAATGATGTCCATCCTAAGTTTGTGTGTGCGTGATATATATTAAATGTTTATTGATTTTTAGAGAGGAAGGGAGAGGGACAGAAACATCATCAATTGACTGCCTCCTGCACACCTCCACTGGGGATCGAGCCTGCAACCTGGGCATGTGCCCTTACTGAGAATCAAACCGTGACCCCTTGGGTCATGCTCAACCACTCAACCATACCCAGCGGGGCTGTATATATATTTCTTAATACAAACAAAATACCCAACAGTTGTTTTATTGCTGCTTCTGAGGACTTGGTTAAATGAATTACGGTCCACCCATAAGACAAAATACTAAGCAGTCATCAAAAATTGCTTAGATAATGAAAAACGTTCTAAATAATTGCCAAGTTAAAAGTAAAATACAACAGTATCTAGAGTATGACACCACTTTATTTTTTTTTTTTAAAGTTACATATAAATACATGCACCAAGTAAAAAGAGTAGAAAAGATATATACTTAAATACTGTTAGGAGTCTCATCTGGGTGGTGGGATTACCCAAACTGGGGTGTGTTATTTTCCAAATCTCAGTGCAAAACCAAGAGACTAGCATGTAACAGGTGTTCAGTAAACGTGAATCCATTTCTGCCCTGACTCCTCTTCTCTGCAAGGACAAGTCCTTGATGCTCTGGGGAATGGGGGGAAACAAAAGGCCAGGGCTCCCTCAGGTCTTAGCCCGCCTCGGGCAGGGACCTCCTGAAGCTTTGCTTCTTCCCTGGGCCTGTAGCCACGAGCCCTAGTTCACATTCAGCTAACACCTGATCCAGTGCCAGGATCAGCTTCGTGGAGGGACCTGAGGCACTTGTGCAGCAACACTGTTGGGGCTGTGACCTGAAGTCACCACAGGCGTCTGTTTCTGTTGAACTGGCAAGTCCCCACGAGTTAAGAAATGTTTCTGATTACAGCACAAGCAACACCTGCTGCTTCTGTACACACGAGCCCCAGCGTTCGCAGCCCCCACCTACCCTGCTCGTTTTGTCATCGGTGGGGGGAGGGCTACTCCCCCGACCTCTGCCACCGATTCCACCTGGACAAGTTGCTCTGCTTGGCTGAGCCGCGGATCATGCATCTGAGAAGCAGCATGAAGAGCCCTACTGTCTGTGTTGCCACCATCAGGACTGGTCCCTTTCCCCTAGGGCCCTAAGAAGAACTCCAGAGAGGGTGACAAAAGATGTTTATTTAGGCTGAATCCCCTGATACATCCATACGTGTAAAAATATATAATCTAAGTCGGGGCAATAATAATCAGGTGGGTGTCATCTCCCCTTCTCCCCTTTGGCACAGCCTTCCCAGCTGCTCCCTTCAAAATTCTGGAGTGTGCAGGACAGGGGTCACTTCTTGGCAGCGGCAGCTTCTGCCTGAGCCGCTAAATCGGCCTCTTTCTGAGCCTCCAAGAATATGGCTCGCTCCTTCTGGAAAGCTGCCAGCTCTTCCGAACTGAGGCTGCGAGCACAAAAAAACAGATGGTAAGTGAGAGGCCCACGTCATTGTCTCAGAATCCTTTCTCCACTCCTGGACTTCTCCTACCTTTGCTCATCTGTTTCCTGTGCCAGGAATGTCACCCCACCATCCTCACCACCTCTGCCTTTTGTTCCCTTCTTTAAGCCCTATGGTCCTTTGAGGCCCCGGCTATAACTCAGCCCAGATGAACTGGCTCTTCCTCTGTGCCCCACAACACTTTGTGCAATAAAGTCTTTGGGCATGCGTGCCTCCCCCTGAACAGGAACCAGACGTACTCACTTCTGTACTCTCAGCAAAAGTAAAGATTTGAGAAAAGTGAAGCCCATTCTTGTTCCCTGCTTAACCCCACTTCTTTTGGGAAACGACCGGCAGCAAAAGACCAGTAAAGGGTTGAGAGCTGACCCTGCTGTTGTCTGGGCTAGACGCCCTCTCACCTAACATCTCACTTCAAAGACACAATTGCTGAGGTCATCTGAAGCCCAAGGTGGGGGCCCCTGTTGGCCTGGCTTCTCTCACACTATTTCCTATTCTGCCTGTAATGCCGGATTGTATACCAGATTACACTGAACTTCTCTGCTGCACTCTTTCACCTTCCATCCTTCACAGGACTCTCCACTTTTTGGAATGCTTGCCCCCAGTCCTTGACTTCCTTTTCCAGGTCTCGTCACCTCTCCTACAAAGTTCCCATTGACACACCAGGCAAATCAGGAGTCCTACACCTTGTTCTCAAGACAGCTGTCATTCAACACTGCCTGTCTGCAGTCTAATGCTCCATCTGTGCATCTGCCTCCAGCTCTGGACTGTGAGTTCCTTAAAAGTGGGGCCAAGCATGGCTATCTAGTTCCCTCTAAGACGTAGAAGGTCCTTAACAAGTGCATTCAAATGAATGAATGGGGCTCCCAAGACTCTAAGGTCCTCTGACTCAGACGCGGACTCTCCCACTAATGTGCACACTCTGTCTTGCCCCGAAGTCAAGAGCTGTCCAGGTCCTCCCCTGGCACTGTGCTTCCCCAGAACACTCACTTCTTCACCACACGAATGCCCAGGGAGCGGGCAGAGCCGATGATGGAGCGGACAACAGAGGACAGGGGCATGTCCCGCAGGACGAAGGCATCGTCCTGAGCTTTGACACAAGCAATCTCATACACGTGCTTCAAGGTCACCAGGCCTGCCACCTCCTTCCCTGGAAAGAAGAAACAAATAGCCCTTTGGGTGTCACTGCCTCCTTCAGACCCCCCCCCCCCCCCCCGCCCAAATTCCAGGGGCCTACCCAGACCCTTACCTGTCTGCCGGGCCCCTTTTTCAATCCCAGCAGCTGCCTTCAGGAAGTAGGTGACAGTGGGTTGTCCTATCTTGATTTCAAACGTCCTGTCGGGCTTAATGAAAAAAAAAAGAAGAAATGCGATAATATCTCTTCCTGCCTCTCCCAACCCCAGCTGCCCCAACCAAGGGGACTTCTAACTTCCCATCTCCCCTTCCCTTGAGTCCCTTTCTGATGGCGTCCCTCCAAAAGACCACAAACCCACAAGAGAAATAAATCTGTAGCAAACAGCCGTGTCCCCTCGGGTCCAGGCCCAGCTCTGCTCAGGAAGCCCCAAGGCAGTGAACGGCCAATGGAAGGCCTGCGACCCGGCGGGAGGGCTTGGAAAAGGGGCCCTCGTCTCCCCTGCGTGGATGGGGAACGCGGGACCCAGGAACAGGAGGAGACCGTCCCGAGTGAGGAACGGGGGGGGGGGGGGGGGGGGGGGACGGACCCGGAGACCCGTCCCGAGCCTGCGGGCGCCGGGGGGGGGGGGGGGGGCGGGGGAGGGAGGAAAAGGAGCTGGGCTCGCAGTCGCGATCGATCGGCACCTTCACGAAGATCTTGGTGGGCAAAGGGATGCCTTCTTTGATGTCCTTCGTCTTCTCGTTGAACTCCTTGCAGAACTGGTTGATGGAGACGCCTCGCTGTGGCGGAAGCACAGGGGCTCGTACAGGGAGGAAGGAGGCTCCCTCCCTCCCCGGAGCCTCCCTCCCTCCCGCTTCCATCTCCAAGTCTCCCTGTCCCCTTCCTCTTCCCTCCACCCAGATCCAACGACCACTGAGAGCCGGTGCTGTGCAGGCAGCAGCCCTCCTGTCCTCACCACAGTCCGCTGGGGACGGGCTGAGGAGGCGGGGCCTCCAGGAGGCACATTAGCTTGTGGGTAGCAGAACCGCGCTAGGAACCGAGGCCTCCCCGGCTCCCGAGCCCGCCCCCTCCGCCCCAGCACCAGCTCCCGCCCTCCCGCGCCTTCCACGCCGAGATCCCGCGCGCTGCACCTGACCCAGGACCGGCCCTAGAGGGGGCCCCGGCATGGCCTGGCCCGCTCGCACGATGGTCCGGATCACGCCGCCGACCTCGGGTTTCTTGGCCGCCCGAGTGGCCCGGATGAGCTTCGACATGATGCGGGGTTCACTACCTTCGTTCAGTCGGGTCAACAGCAAGACCGACGGCTCTGGGCGCCGCCATCTTGTGTCAGAGGTCACGGGTCCTCTCTTTAGGTTAGGGCTGGTGAAGCCCAAGAAGAGCAGAGTTGTTTCGGTCCTCCAACGAGTAAGACAAAAAGGGTGATATAAAGAAAAAAAAAACTTTTACTTTGCCCTCTGGAGATAGAGGAAGGACCCGAACGGTTCGGGTACACACATTTCTCCCGAAGAGCACGCAGGCAGTACTTCGGACAGCTAAACTCGAGAAGGCCCTTACTGTCCGCACAGCATTGTGGGTATGGTAGTTTTGACGGCTTTGCAAATCCCGCAGGTGGCTGTGCGCTGGGGCGCTAGCGGCTGGACATGGCGATTGTCCTTGGGTTTGAAATGAACCTAGAGCTCATTTCCTCACCTGTTGTCCAAAGGCGGTATGGTTAAGAGTACAGACTCTGGAAGCAAACTGCCCGGTGGCTCCTCTTGCTGCCTGTGAACTTGATGAAGTTTGGACCCCCAATGTACACAGGATAAAAAGATTCACTGGGCTACAAGGAGAAAGGGGAAAGAGGGAAGTGGAGTGATGAGAAAGGTAGGAGTCCCAGCTGGAAAGGCCAGTAGCCTGCTTCCCAGTGGGTTAATGGAGCCCAGAAAAGTGGTTCAGGCCAGAGGTCTGTGGGTGGCTAATCCCACTCCACAAGGAGGCAGCAAGGCCCTGGTGAGGGCCCTAGCTGGGTGGCTCAGTGGATAGAGCGTAGTCCTGCGGACTGAATGGTCCCGGGTTGGATTCCTGTCAAGGGCACATGCCCGGGTTGCAGGCTCCATCCCCAGTAGGGGGCGTGCAGGAGGCAGCCGATTGATGATTCTCTCTCATCCTTGACGTTTCTATCTCTCTCCCTCTCCCTTCCTCTCTGAAAGCAATATTAAAAAGAAAAAAGACCCTGAGGAGGGAACAGCTGAAGGCTGGGCAGAAATGACTGCTTTGAAGGGTGACATGGAGAGAACAGAAGCTGCCAGCCCTGAAGGGCATGGCTGACCAGCTAGAGGTGTCTCAGGGTGAAGTCCAGTCAGGCCGTCTCCATGGGGACCTGTGTGAATGGACGACATTGGGTGCCAGAGACATTCTGCTGAGATGTGTACCTGTCACACACAGTGCTCAGCCTGGTCCCCTGGAGGCCCCTGTAGCAGCAGGACAGCAGAGACGGAGGAAGGCAGGGGGAGGAGTGGGCTGAGCTTCCTTCAGCCTTTGATCGAAGACATGGAGAGTTAGGGACCTAGAACTGCCCACTTACAGTTCACCCCTCTCCCTCAGCCCCCACAGTTCTCGCCAATCCTGCCATCCCCTCTGTGACTTCCCAGAGAGAAGGGGTGACATCCACTTTCTGTCTCTCCCAACATACTCTTGGGGCAAGTCCCATCACCTCTGTAGGCCTCACTTTTCTCAACTGTGAAAATAATAATAATAATAATAATAATAATAATAATAATAATAATAATACCTACCACCCAGAACTGTTGAGAGAATTTAATGAGATTACCCAGGTAAGGTGCTTAGCTCAGGTCTGGCATGTGATGTATGGTAAGCACTCTCTAAGGGTTAACTATTATTATTGTCACTTCAGACTTCATCTTTCCTTGGCTGAACACTCAGACAGCCCCCTTTATGGTCTCTCTGCCTCCATTCTTGCCCCATCAATCTATCCTCTCCAACTCAGCGAGTGTCAGTTCCCTAAAACTTGTCAATGTCAATGCAGCTTCTTTTCCCAGAGTGTGGGTCTTGGTCCATCTGAGACACTTATTAAAATTCAGTTCTCTGGGATCCTCCTCCAGTCCCAGGGGATCCTCCTGAGACTCACTGCTTTGTAAACTAAAGTCTACACTTGTTGGTATGGGATTCAAGACCCTGGAGCTAGCCAACTTCTCCATCCTGCTACTCCCTACCTCACACCATATCCTCAGCCACCCAGAGTGTGCACTTTCCTACCACTCTTCGCTCTCCTGGGCCTCCGTCTGTGCATATGTAGACCTGGACACTCTTTCTCGCCTTTTCTCCCCGGCTCCCTCTGCCTCCATACCCTTCAAGAAAATTATAAGGTTTTCCTCTTATAGGTTGAATTATCTCCACCCAAAAGTAATATATTGAAGCCCTAACTTATAGTGCCTCCAAATGTGAGAGGGCCTTTAAAGAAAGGTGATTAGTTAAAATGAGGCTGTTAGGTTGGGCCCTCATCCAATCTGACAGTTGTCCTTATAAGAGGAGATCAGGACACAGACAAGCACAGAGGAAAGACCATGTGAGGACACAAGGAGAGAGGTCTCAGAAGAAAACAGATTTGCCCACACATTGGTTGATTATAGGGATTTTTTCAAATTACAATTGTGACCTATCAGTGGGTTATGAAATTGATTTCATGAGTTTGACCAGCATTTTTAATGAAATAGAATAGAAAATAGAGTATATCACATAGAGTAAAGATAAGTGTTTTTGCCCTGGCTGGGTGGCTCAGTTGGTTTGAGTGTTGCCCCATGCACCAAAAGGTTTTGGGTTTCATTGCAGGTCAGGGCACACACAGGAGGCAACCAATCTATGTTTCTCTCTCACTTCAGTGTTTCTCTCTCTCCCTTCCTCTCTAGAATCAATAAAAACATATACTCACGTGAGGATTAAAAAAAAATTATAAGTGTTCTCATGAAACCTGTGTTTCCCTTGTGTGTCTGTATCGGATCACAATAAAAATGATCTCTTACTAATGCTCATGGGCCAGCCTCCCCCCAACTAGAAAGCACTGCAGTGGCCTGTGTGACCCTAAAAAGCGAGGTTACATCTTGCTCATTCCTGCATGTCCAAGGCCTAACCTTGGACCTGGCACGCAGTAGGCCTTTGGGAAATATTGATGGAACAAATGTAATGATCCTTGCATGTATTAGTTCCTGTGCTTCCACTGCTGTAACCCTAGTCTCAGCATCAACGTCTTTCCCCTGGATGACTACAACCTCCTAACAGCACCCCACTGTGACTCAGAGCCAGAGGCTGAAAGGGCTCCTGGCTCTCGAGGGAAAGGTGGCTGTGCAAGTCACTCCCGTGCACTGAAACTGGCTCCCTTGGTCCCGCTGGAAGGACACGTATTGCTTGTGGGTGCCGGCCAGGCAGTTCTGAAAAAACAGTCTCGGTTCTCAATTCAAGATGGCAAAGGATGGGCTTCTTCATAGAAGCAGCAAGACGTGGGAGACAAATACAGAATGAAACACAAACTGGTCACGCAACAGAAACTGAAGAGCATACAGGGACGGCAGGTGGACATCACCTAACGGCCACCAGCACAGGGCTGTGCAGGTGAGGCTGCCCTCTGAAGCATGCCCTCCTGCCCCGCATGTTCAGAAAACGAGGCTCCTGGAAGGCCTGTCCACAGCCTGGAGCACTAGTGTAGACATGGCTGTTGGAATCCAGAGGCAGAAAAATGGTCCTCCGGTGGCCACCCTGCCAGGAGTATACGGGGGTCACCCCCTTCCCTGAGGCCCAGGCTTCCTTCTGTAAGATAGTGGCACCCAATGACCTTCCTGGATATTGGTTACTGGACTGTGGGCCTGGCAAGTTCTGATCCCCAGATAGCATGTGACCTGGGAGTTGGAGGCCCTGCATTTCAATCCCATCTCTGGCTGTGGCTCAGGTTTTCTCATGGCTGCCTAGATCTCAGGCTCCCAATGGTTCAAAGTATGGGTGGAAACAGGTCACCTGTCCACTGCTTCCTGCTGGAATATTCTAGGGTTCTAAGCTTGCTTTTTGCTCTTATGCTATTCCCACTATCATTGTTTCTTGTGGCTTCCTGATTCCAAACCTGTGTTGCTTGTGCCTGATGTGGGGAGGATGGGGTCCAGATTACAGCTGCCTGCCTATAGGGGCTAGTACTGCCACACAGAAGGTGGCACACCCACACGAAAGACCTCAAATAAATACCCTTTCTCTAGCCCCACCCTGTGCTTGTACATTTTCTCTGCCAGGTCAGAAACAGGGAAGATGGGAAAAGAGACCTCATCTTTCCCCCACCCACCTCCAGTCTCTGACTCTCACTTTCCAGTGGGAATCCGTTTGCTTGTTACCAAGTCGGGGACTCCTATGCAGTCTGTGCAGCCTACTCTTCTGGCTTCCCCCACCTTTCTAATGAGTGGCTAATTGGCTTGGAAAAGACTGCCTTTAGTGAAAGAGACCTCTCCAAAGTTCTTAAACAGCTGTGCAAGACTATAAAGGGAATTAAAAATCCTAGATCAGAGAGAGGTTAGCAAGATTTTTTTCTGTAACAGCCAGAGAGTAAATGGCTTACAATCTCTGTTGGAATTCCAAGTCTCTCCTTATAGTGTGAAAGTAGTGCTCAGACTCTGCTCAGACTCTCTGAGAGAGGCCCACAAGCCAGGCTGGCCTCACAGGGCTCTGTCCAAGCTCGGCTCTCCGAGCGAGGTTCAGGGGGCCAGAGCCCGGCCTAGCCTCAGAGTCTCTCAATTTTTCTCTTTCTGTTCTTCTCTCCTTTCCTCTCTCTCTCTCTCTCTCTCTCTCTCTCTCTCTCTCTCTCTCTCAAAATCAATAAATAAACAATTTTAGTTAAAAAAGAAATAAACTTGTATCTTGTTCCTCTCTTTGTCTCCCCCCCCTTTTTGAAGCAATAGGGTTAAGATCTAGATCAGTGATGGCAAGCTTTTTGAGCTCGGCTTGTCAGCATTTTGAAAAACCCTAACTTAACTCTGGTGCCATGTCACATATAGAAATTTTTTGATATTTGCGACCATAGTAAAACAAAGACTTATATTTTTGATATTTATTTTATATATTTAAATGCCATTTAACAAAGAAAAATCAACCAAAAAAATGAGTTCGCGTGTCATAGGTTCGCCATCACTGATCTAGATTGATGGGAGAGAAGGGAGGGGCTGAACAAAGGGATTTCAGAACAACAGTGCATTTTTTAAAAAATATATTTTTATTGCCGAAACCGGTTTGGCTCAGTGGATAGAGCGTCAGTCTGTGGACTGAAAGGTCCCAGGTTCGATTCCGGTCAAGGGCATGTACCTGGGTTGCGGGCACATCCCCAGTAGGAGATGTGCAGGAGGCAGCTGATCGATGTTTCTCTTTCATCGATGTTTCTAACTCTCTATCTCTCTCCCTTCCTCTCTGTAAAAAAATCAATAAAATATATTTTAAAAAAATATATATTTTTGTATTGATTTCAGAGAGGAAAGGAGAGGAAGAGAGAGAGAGAAACACCAATGATGAGAGAGAATCATTGATCGGCTATCTCCTGCACGCCCCCAACTGGGGATTGAGCCCGCAATTTGGGCATGTGCCCTTGACAGGAATTGAACCCGGGACCTCTCAGTCCAGAGGCCGATGCTCTATCCACTGAGCAAAACTGGCCAGGGCTACTGCATTTTGTTTATTGTTGACAGTATCACAGATGTTCCCCAACCCTCTCCCTTTGAATACTACAAGTTTTTATCCCACTACGGGTAGATATTAAATTATTTCTATTTTATAAATAAGGATACTGAGGATAGAGAGATTAAGAAACTGGGGTTCGCCCTGACTGGTTTGGCTCAGTGGATAGAGCGTCAGCCTGCGGACTGAAGGGTCCCAGGTTCAATTCTGGTCAAGGGCATGTACCTTGGTTGTGGGCACATCCCCAGTAGGGGGTGTGCAGGAGGCAGCTGATCGATGTTTCTAACTCTCTATCCCTCTCTGTAAAAAAAAAATCAATAAAATATATATTTTTTAAAAGAAAGAAACTGGAGTTCTTGGCATAGAGCATGGGAGTTAAGAGCCAGAAACCAAGGCTGAACTTGGGCATCTGTGTCTGCTGATGGTATCCAGCTGTCCCTTCTTCTCCCCTATCTGGACAGTGCTGGGATCAGTCCCATCTCAGGCTTCTGGAGGCCCCTTCAGGTCTGGCTGTGCCCACCATGCAGCTCTGATCCTAGTTGATTCCAGCACTCTACGGCAGGAGAGATCACTGTCTTCCTGGTGTTGGGTGATAGCACTGGGCTCTGGACAAACCTCAGCTCTATACTTACCTTGCTGTGTGATCCGGGACAAGTATCTCCCCGCTGCCAAAAAGGAAAAAAAAAAAAAGAGTCTCACTTTTCTCATTTGTAAACTGAGGTATCTAATAGTAATCCAGCACACGTTCACCGGGCCTGCTCTGGCAGGCAGTGTGCTGGAAGCTGGGAGTGCAAAGGGGAGTGAGGCTGTCCCTATGTCCTAATGGAGCTGTGCCTACCTGGCATGGGAGAGGGCACACTGTAGGCATTCAGGGAGGGAAGCTGTCTTGTGGGGCAGGATTTGCATGACCTGCTGCTGGCAGCCCAGCAGTCCAGCTTGCTCAGTGGTGTTTCCTTCTGATCAATGAGTGCCTTTGTCCCTAAAGGACTTGCTGTCTGCGGCTTTCTTGTCTCATCTGACACAGGGCCCCAGAACAGATGGCAAAGCAGTTGGTATCCTCGGCTATTTTTGGTGGGGGCGTTAGTGGGATGTGAACATGGTGGGGCCCAGGTGGTCCCAGACACTGGGAGCTTCACAAGCAACAAGTTGGGGTGGGAAGGATGCTCCCTCCAGGATTTTGTGGGCAAATTCACGTACCTTTCACAATAGGGTCAAAGGCCATTTCCTCTGTGCAACCTTGTTTGATTTCCTCAGTGGAGCACACACTCACTCCAAAGATGCAGGTTAAGAATCCATCCTCTAAGCGTCCCCCATTTCTTGATTATGGCTCCAAACATACTGAGAGATAATGACCTAAAGGGATCTCATCTGATGCGTCTCTGGGCCTCTCCTGCCCTGAGCCCACCTGCCTCTCCCAGTTATCACAGGTAAGGAAGTTAGGAGTCCAGACTTTGGAATCACACAGCTGAAATCCACTCCTGGCTCCTTTCTAGCAGAATAACCGTGACCAAGTTTGTAAATCTGTTTTCTCATCCGTAAAACAGGTGATTATCGTGCCTGCCTCCCAGAAATTAAAGGCTTGTTTTGCTCACAGTACAGTGGGTAGCTACCTGTGCAGGCCCATAGATGAGATATCTTTCACGCCAAGGCCCGCAAGGGGTTGTGGGCCCTCCATCCCTTTTGTGGCATTTCGCCTGGTGTGTGCGTGCCGGCCGGCGGGAGGGAGGTGTTCCTGGGCACCAGGGGGTCCAGAGGGGCCAGAAGTCACCCAGGGAGAAGAGAGGGGCCGGGCTGGGCTGGAAGAAAAGGTCTGCTACGTAGCGGCTTTCCGCGGCCTCCCTGCAGACGCACAACCCTCTCTCCCCCGTCCGCCTCCTCTAGTATTTTCCTTCTCCCTCTCCTTCCCGCCCCAGCTCTCTCCTCTAATTCTGTGGCTTCCCCAAGTAGAAGGTGGGTGTGGGGGGGGGGGCGGGGGAAACAGAGCCCCTGGACTAATGTGGGGAGAAGGGCCTCCTGCCCAGACTGCGGTGGAGGAGGGGGCGCCCAGGTCTTTGGGGGGACCCGGGAAATCCCCAGAAATAAGGGCGGGATCTGGGTAGCCCGAACTAGGCTGCCAGGGAGTCGCCAAACCCACAACGGTAGTCCACGGAGTTCCTGAGACACCGGCGACTGGGACTTCCAGTGCAGGGGGCGGGGTCAGAGGGGGCGTGGTCTTCCAGGAAGGGGCGGTGCTCAGGTCATTAGGGCTAAACTTCGCCGCAAGGGGCGGAGTCTGGAGTGGGCGGGGCTTTCCTGGAGGCGGCTCGGGGGCGGGGCATCGGGACGGGAGGTGGAGCGTGGAGGTGCGCGCTGGTCCCCCTCCCTCGGTCCCGCGTGTCCACGTGACGAGGCAGCGCGGAGCCGCCGCGGGCCGGGCCCATCCCGCCGCAGCGGCCCCGGGGCCGAGCAGAGTCGAGGTGCGAAGGGATCGGCGCAGAGCGGACCCCCGAGCGCGGCCAGGTGAGGCCGCCTGGGCGGAGGGGGCGGGGGCTGCGCCGGGCGGGCCGCGGGTGCAGGGGGCGTGTTTGCATGTCTGGGGGCGGCAGGGGGAGTGGGTCCGAGGGCGAGCGCCTGTGGCTGTTTGGGCGCTCGCGCCTGCTGTCGCGGGACCAGGGTTGGCTCTGCGCCGGTCCTGGTTCTGCTCGCGGGGCTCGGGGTGTGCGGGACTGTGCGTGCACGCGCGTGTTTGTGTGGAGGGGCCCCGGGTGTGTATCTGCGTATGCGCTGGGCCGTCATTGTGCCTGGCCCGGGTGCGGGGCGCGGGCCTGCCCGGCGCAGCCCCTCCTGCGCGGGTGTTTTCCAAACAGGCTTCCTGCGGAGATGGGCTCTGCTGCAGCCGTAGCTGGAGTGGGGAGCGCCGCCCCCACAGGCCTCCAGAGACCCAGACAGCCCGGGGACTGCAGACAGACACCTGAGGGAGGAAGGGGGCGCGCACCCGGGATGGGTCCAGAGGCCTGGCCGAAGGGCGAGGCCAAGATGGACAGACTGAGGCAGATGGATAGGGCAGTGGAGGTGGACAAACAGGCGGAGATGGGGAAGAAGGTGGGAAGGGAGATTGTGAAAAGGACAGAGGCGGGGAGGACGGAGAGTCATTGAAAAAGCAGACAGACAGAGGCCAGACCTGCAAAGAGGCGGAAAGATTAAAAAGGACAGATTCCAATAACCTGCCAGAAGGAAGGTCCTGGGGCTGAGAGCTAAACCCAGGAGCTGAGTCTGAGATGAGGAGTTAAGGCCCCCCAACTCCTGGGGTTCCCTTCTTCCAAAAACATCCCAGACTGGGGTCCTGGCCAAAAAGAAGCCTCTGGCCATCCCAAGTTAGTTCATCCCTCCGACCCCACCAAATTTTCCCATCCTCTGTGGGCTTCTCCCTCTTGGTTCCATTCCACCTATCAACTTCCTTCCCTGGTATCCCAGCAACCCAGGGCAGTTTAGGAGAGGCAGAGGTGAAGTGGTTGCCATAGCAACAGAGGCGGTGAAAGGTCATTCTGGCATTAGCCTAGGTGGCCCAGCAGCAGGCCAGAGCTGGCATTGAAGGGGGGATGGGAGGGGAGGCTACAAAATTCTTTTTCTCCTCTCCCATTCTGCCCAGAATGGTGCTGGAAGGAAACCCCGACGTGGGGTCCCCCCGAACCTCAGACCTACAGCACCCTGGGAGCCAGGGCTCCTGCATCCTCTCTTCTGGTGAAGATGTGCAGCCAGGCGAGGAGCCCATCAAGTATGGCGAACTCATCGTCCTGGGGTGAGCATCCCTGGCCCAGGTGGGGTGGGGCACCAGGCTCCCTGCAGGGCAACCAAACCAAGGGCCCCAGTCCTCCCCCTCTATGACCTTCTGCTCTTTGTCCTTCCTCACCTTCCCAGCTGAGTGACAGAGTTGACCAAACCCACTTAATTCATAATTGTTATTTTATCTTCCCATTTTTCATAAATTACGAAGACAACTCTTAACTACCCACCTGTTTCTGATCAGAAAAAAGTAACACAGCTGCCTTTCATGAACCACCCTGTGAGTGTGTAGTTTGAGGTGAAGAACTCTGGTTCTCTATCAAAATTGCTTGGTTCAAATCCTGCCTCTGCAAGTTGTTTAACTTCCCTCTGCCTCCGTTTTCCCCTTTGACAAATAGGGATGATGATAATACCTCAGAGGGTTGTTGGAAGGAAGGAATAAGGTGATTGCTATAAAGCACATAGAACAGTGCCTGTCACGTATCAAGTGTTCTGGGAGGCAGGCCTGTGCCAAGCCCTTTCATGGACATTATTTCATTTCAATCTTCACAAAGATGCTGTGAGGAAGGAGGTGAGGAAACCGAGGCTCAGAGAGGGGAAGTGACTGGTCCAAGGGCACACAGCTGGTAAGTGGCAGGGCTGGGATTTCGATCCAGGTTTCTTACTCTAGGTCTAGTGCACTTTCACTAAAGCCACAGCTGATTTTCATGCTACAGATGAGAAAACAGGCCAGAAGAGAGGAAGTGATGTGAGTTGGTGGCTGGGTAGACTTCCTGGTCTCTGGTCAGGATCCCTGCAACAACCTCTTTGCTTTTCCCCCAGACACAGATCCCTCCTTCTCCCCCATGAATACTTCCTTCTGGCCTTTCTCTCTGCCATCTGCCCTGAAGAAAATATCCGGGAAGCTATGTTATCATTATGACGATTTTGTAGAAATAATACTGGCTACTGTTTGTTGACATACACATGCCATGTGCTTTAAAAAAAATTTTTTTTTATTGATTTCAGAGAGGAAGGGAGGAGAGAGAGGTAGAAACATCAATGATGAGAGAGAATCACTGATCAGCTGCCTCCTGCATGCCCCCTCCTGAGGATGGACCCCGAAACTTGGGCATGAAATCAAACCGTGACCTCCTGGTTCATAGGCCAACACTCAACCACTGAGCCACACCAGCCAGGCCCATGTGCTTTTAAAAATAATAATAGCTAACATTTATTAAGGGTCTGCTATATATATGCCAAACTCTGTGCCAAGCATTTTTAAATGCTTTATCTCGTTTAGTTCTCACAATGAACCCACAGGTAGGCCCCTGATAAATTAGCCCCGTTTTACAGAAGTCATGTGATAAATGGACAAGCCAGGATTTCAGCTGGGCCCTTCTGAGCCCCAGCCTGCGTCCTGAACTGCCCCACCCCATATGTGGAAGGAGCTTACAAGGGTAAGAGTGATGCCCCTCTCAGGGGTGCTTGCCTTAGAATAGCAGCTGCCTGGTGTTCCAAAGTCAGGGCTGTCTTTGCAGATGGAGGTGAGACCAGTGATGGGGGAGAGCGCAGACCAAGGGTCAGGTCCTCTTGACAGCTGGTGGTTCAGTGCCGAGCATTGAAGCCCACACTGGCTGTACATCCAAGCCACCTGGAGAACACAAGGAAAGTGGCCAGTGACAGGCCCATCCCAAACCTACAGAATCACCATCTCCATGGGTAGGGCCAGGGAACCTGTATTTTAACAAGCTCCTAGAAGGTTCTGATCAGGTGGTCCTTGGCTGTATTTGGCAGCTCTTCATCCTGTCAAACCATCCATTGCTCCCCATTGCTTACAGACTAAAGGCCAGACTCCTCAGCCTGGTTTTCTGGGCCCTTCCACGGACCTCATCTTCTCCTGTTGCACTTCACCACACGAGTCACCATGCCCTGATCTCATCAAGCTCTGCCAGCCTCAGGGCCATTGCTTACGATGAGCCTTACCTCCAAAAGGGCTTCTGCAGGAGAGGCTGGAGTCAGACAGACCCGAGTTCAAATCTAGACTTTTTCACTTATTAGCCTGGGACCTCGAGCAAGTCATTTTACCTCCCTGAGCCTCAATTTTCCTCATTTGTAAAATGGGAAGAAAGACACTTGCTTGGCAGGACATTGCGCAGGTTCCATTAGGTAATTAATGAAGCACCAGGAACATGGGCGGCTCCAGTACATGGCAGCAATCAAGTCTGTGACTCACCCCATCCTTGCTTTCCACATCATTCCCTCTGGACAAGAGCTGGAAAGGAAGGTAGAAATTTGATGTGAATGGCTGTATGGAGGGCGTGGCATTGTGGGTCTATTTTTTCCTTTCGTTCTGGCTTCCAGTAGTACTGTGGTGTCATAAATGGCAGTTTGCTAAAGGTGACTCCTTTCCAGTTCTTCAAGGCCCAGTAGAGGTATGCTCTCTCCTAGAAACCTGATCCTGGGGCCAGAATTCCCTTCTCCGGCCTCGGGGCTTGTAGTGCACTTGACTTGTGCCTGGGTCATGGCAGGTGGCACCCAGGTTCCTTGAAAAGCTGAGGATCCCCCTCTGCCACCACTAGGGCATAGAACTGACCTGTGGTTCATCACTTATGCCACCCCAGTGCCCAGCACCTGGCCGGGCACGGCTCAGGGGGCCAGGAATCACTGGTGAATTGAATGAAAAATCCTTTCAAGGTGTTCTGACCCAGTCCGCTCCCGAAAGGCCCCACTTTGATCAAGTAGGGTCTTCTGGTTTCAGGTGGTCCTAGGGCTTGTTTATTAAGGTAGGATCCGCCCAGAAGTTGGCAGTTCCTACTAGTCTCTCAAAGGCTCACTTGTATCTCTCTCCCTGCAACCTTTGCTTACCTCCCCATATCCACAGCTACAATGGTTGTCTATCAAGTGGGGACAAGGGCCGCCGGCGAAGCCGCCTGGCACTGAACCGCAGGCCACATGCCAACGGAGTGAAGCCAGACGTCATGCACCATATCTCCACGCCTCTCGTCTCCAAGGCAAGCAGCTTATCCCAGCAGATCCGGGTAGCGGTCCCGCCCTTGCTGCCCACACCCCACTGGAGCCCGGGAGCTCACCGTATCTTTGCTTATTGCCTCCTGGGCTGCCAGAGAAATGGTGCTGATGGGAGAACCTTTGCAGGGTGCACAGTCCTTTCCAGTTTGCAAAGCATTTCCTTCACCACCAGACGCCATCCACTGGACAGTTCGCAGCATTATTTATTTATTTATTTATTTATTTAATATTTGTATTGATTTCAGAGAGAAAGAGAGGGAGAGAGAGATAGAAACATCAACGATGAGAGAGAATCATTGATCGGGTGCCTCCTGCACGCCCCACACTGGGGATCTACCCCGCAACCTGGGCATGTGCCCTGACTGGGAATCGAACCGTGACTTCCTAGTTCATAGGTCAACACTCAACCACAGAGCCATGCAAGCCGGGCAGCATTATTTTATTTTATTTTATTTTTAATACATTTTTTATTGATTTTAGAGAGGAAGGGAGAGTGAGAGACAGACAGAAACATCAATGATGAGAGAGAATCATTGATTGGCTGCCTCCTGCATGCCCCCCACTGTGGATCGAGCCTGCAACCTGGGCATGTGCCCTTGACTGGAATTGAAACAGGGATCCTTCAGTCCACAGGCTGACGCTCTATCCACTGAGCCAAACCAGCGAGGGCTAATTTTAGAAGCAGCCCAGGGTCAGAGAGGGGACATGAGAGGCACACAGCAATGACAAAGGAAAAGCCTTTGGGTTAGAATCGGGGCTCTGCTCCTTCCTGCTCCATGACTAGGCCAGTTTCTTCTTTCTGAGCTGCTGTTCCCTCAGCTGTACAAGGGGAATGATAACCATGTCTCCTGGTTGGGGTGGCTGGAGCGAGCAAAGAAGGTAACCTGTGTGAGTGCTGGCTGCGCCGCACACCTCTGCAAAGGGTAGAACCACAATCCCCAGGAGTGGCCTCGGGCTCCAGCTTCTAGTTCAAAGACTCACCCTTCTCATGGCCGCTCACTCTTCTTTCCCCCCGCCAGGCACTGAGTAACCGGGGCCAGCACAGCATCTCGTACACACTGTCCCGGAGCCATTCGGTCATAGTCGAATACACACATGACAGTGACACAGACATGTTCCAGGTATGCTCGGGCCCTTCTGCACGCCTCCTGGCCACCAGCCTCAATGGTCGGCTCTACACACCTTCCAGGGGGAGGCTGGAGGACCGAAGGCCCTGGGGAAGGTGCTTTGGGGGCCTTAGTGCAGTTGACCTCTCTTCAGATGAGGAAGCAGGACATCCCAGCAAGGGTCACACAGCAGGTAGTCTCTGTATCAGGATTCAAACCCAAGGCCGGACGCCCCAGCTGTGGGAGGACATACAGTTTAGGGGTTCATAGTGCTGTGTGAGAGTCATTCCACCTGGCTCGGATCCCAGCTCCATGGCGTACTAGCTTGGTGGCTTTGAGAAAGCATCACCTAAGCGCTCCAGGCCTTGCTTACCTCATCGCTCAGGTGGGGCCCAGAATAGTACCCACCCGAGGAGTTATTGGGAAGATTAACTGAGATATAGCACAGAAAATGCTTAGCAAGGAGCCTGGCTTATAATAAACACTACAAATTCATTAGTTGCTGCTAATATGTGAGCACTTCCAGACCATGGCTATCACCCTTTCACTGTGCAGTCAGCAAATCGGCTAGTTTTTATTGAGGGGGATGCTCCCCAGAGCTTTGGGGGAGGTGAGGGAGAAGCCCTGGACCTTAGCAACTGGACTTGGAGCTCCCCAGGGACTTGAGATGGTGCTGCCCCCTCATTATTTGGTGACTCTGCATGCAACCCCGGGGGGTGGGAAGCCAGGGGATTGACCTGTACACACAGCATCCTTGTGCTTGCCTTCCCCTTCCTCACAGATCGGCCGCTCCACAGAGAACATGATCGACTTTGTGGTAACAGACACGTCTCCTGGAGGAGGGGTGGCCGAGGGCCCCTCTCCCCAGAGCACCATCTCCCGCTATGCCTGCCGCATCCTGTGCGACCGCCGGCCGCCCTATATTGCCCGCATCTATGCCGCCGGCTTCGATGCCTCCAGCAACATCTTCCTTGGAGTGAGTGAGCCCCAGGCAGGGCCCAGCGCTTCTTCTGAGAGTGAGCTGTGGGGTAGGCTGGGGAGGGGCAGCATCCTGGGGTGATGGACCAGCCCTTAGTAATCATAACTATGACCTATGCAGGGCTTAGCACCCCACTTAACCAGTGAGCAAAGTGAGGTTCAGAGAGGTCAGATGACGTCCAAGGCCAGGCAGTGCCAACGTTAGTCCCCTCTGGGCTACCTGTGACCTTGAGGAGAGAGGGACAGCCCCCCGGCTCATGACCTGCTGGGGGGCCACTTGAGGGTGTGGTCTGATCCCACGTGTGGTCCCAGGAGCGGGCAGCCAAATGGCGGACCCCCGATGGCCTGATGGACGGCTTAACCACCAATGGGGTCCTGGTGATGCACCCAGCGGGCGGCTTCTCTGAGGACTCGGCCCCAGGTGTCTGGCGGGAGATCTCAGTCTGTGGGAACGTCTATACTCTGAGGGACAGCCGCTCGGCACAGCAGCGGGGGAAGCTGGTAGGTGGTCTGCACCCCCCTCCCTCCCCGCGCAGTCATCCTTCCTGGGATCTCCAGATCTGCCCGTCCCCCTGCCCAAGCCAGGAGGTGGTCTCCAGTCCTCCTGCACGAGGGAGCCCCACAGGCTCCAGGTGCCGCTTGCTGCACAGAGGGGACCAGGCTACCGTCCCCAAGTACCACCCTTGTTGGCGGTCCATGGGATGATAGGAAGTGGAGCACACACAGGCACGCCATGCAGTACCAAATGGCTTGCAGTGGTTCTCAACCTTCTGGCCCTTTAAATACAGTTCCTCATGTTGTGACCCAACCATAAAATTATTTTCGTTGCTACTTCGTAACTGTGATGTTGCTACTGTTATGAAATCGTAAGGTAAATATCTGATATGCAGGATGGTCTTAGGCGACCCCTGTGAAAGGGTCGTTCGACCGCCAAAGGGGTCGCGACCCACAGGTTGAGAACCGCTGGCTTAGAGGCTGCCAGCAGCGGAACAAAATCACACGCTCTTAGGAGAGTGACACTTGGCCCATGTGTGAGCGGTTTACAGCCTAAAGTGTTGGCAGTTGGTAACGTGTCTGTCACAGGCAGACGGGTTTAGCTTCATTATCCTCTCCCAGCGGGAGGGCCTGTGGAGTAGTTCTGACGCCGGTGACAGCGAATGCTCGATGTGGTCCAGACAGGAAGCGAACGGTAGGAGCTGGGAGAGGTCGTGGGGCCAAGTTCCTCAGTGGGCAACGCAGAGCTCCCGGGGATGAACGTGTCGGGCAAGGAAATGCGAAACCTCACGGGAAAACGTGGCTTATCTTTCCAGAGCATCAATTCTGCTGGGAGATTTGGGGAAACATTTTTTTAAAAAATTATGCACGCGAATGTGTCACTAGCATTCGCTGAGTTCCAGGCACGTTCCAGTTTACCTTGATTGACTCATGAGAACCACTTGACAGACAGGAAAGTGGAGCCCATCTGGAGGGTAAGGAAGTGAAGACACAGAAAGGCCGAGTTACTCCACCAGACACACAGATTTAGTAACTGGTGAGGCCAGAAATCTCACCCAGGCAGTTAGCTCTGGAGTCCGGGCTTTACCCAGCCTTGGGACAGCTGCTGTGGGCTCCGTCCCCAGTGATAGGAGAGTTTCCTGCCTCTGCCACTAGGGGGAGCGTGGGAAAACTCCGTTTGGTCCAGACCTGATTTGACGGATGAGGTCACCAAGGCCCACACTCTGTTGAGTGAGGGACCCTGTGTGCCTGGGAGCACCTGCCAGCCCCCCTTCTGAGATGGTGCTGCCTGCTTCTTGGTCCTCCCCCCTCCTCTGCCCCAACCCTCCCCTTCTCTGTCCCAGCCACACCCCCTCCCCCCAGCCTGCTCTGACAGTCCAGGGTGCCCTCTCCAGGGAGGTTCTGTGGGATGGATGGGTGGCTAGTCTGGGGAGATGGCTGCCCGATGGTAGGGGCGTGGGGGCCTCTTGGGCAGTCAGGCCCTTCTGCTCCCCTGGCAGGTGGAGAACGAGTCCAATGTGCTGCAGGACGGCTCCCTCATCGACCTGTGCGGGGCCACGCTGCTCTGGCGCACGCCGGCGGGGCTGCTGCGGGCACCCACGCTGAAGCAGCTGGAGGCCCAGCGGCAGGAAGCCAACGCCGCGCGGCCCCAGTGCCCCGTGGGCCTCAGCACCCTGGCCTTCCCCAGCCCCGCCCGGGGCCGCACGGCGCCTGACAAGCAGCAGCCTTGGGTCTACGTTCGTTGCGGCCATGTCCACGGCTACCACGGCTGGGGCTGTCGGCAAGAGCGGGGTCCCCAGGAGCGCGAGTGTCCTCTCTGCCGTCTCGTGGGGCCCTATGTGCCCCTGTGGCTCGGCCAGGAGGCCGGCCTCTGTCTGGACCCCGGACCGCCCAGCCACGCCTTTGCACCCTGCGGCCATGTCTGCTCTGAGAAGACTGCCCGCTACTGGGCCCAGACGCCACTGCCCCATGGCACGCACGCTTTCCATGCCGCCTGTCCCTTCTGTGGGGCCTGGCTCACCGGCGAGCATGGCTGTGTCCGCCTCATTTTCCAGGGACCACTGGACTAGGCTCCCAGGACCCCCTGCTGCCTCGCCCACCTGCCCACCCAGGTCCCCCACCTCCTGCAGCCTAGAGGGAGCTCTGCATGTGGGACTCTACCTGCTGGCACCTAGCCACACCGCGTGGACACATCGGATGGGCTGTGCCCCTCCCCTTTTAACCCAAAGGTGTTCCTGAGGCCCGTACTCCAGCCAGAATGATGGGGCCCTCAGCACCAGCTCTGTCCTGGCCTGATGGAAGAAAGCCCACCCCCATCCCTGGCCCCTCCTGGAGTGTCTCACATCATGCCGCCTACACTGTGCCGCTGGGGGAGTGAAAGGGCCCTGGGCCCCTGACCCCCAGTTTAGGCTGGCTGTGCCCGGAGCCTGCTGACCCAGCTTCAGCTATTCCCCCTGCTGCTGCCGTGGGGTTCTGTAAACCTTGCTGCTCAGCTGCCCTCACCAACCCCCCGCGTCCCGCATGTATGCAGTGCCCCAGCCCCTGACGGAGTTCCAGGCGGGCGGCAGGCTGGGACCAGCATCTGCTGATACCACTGTGGTCTCAACTCCATGCCAGGTGGGTTCTGGGGACACAAAGACAATCAGGCCTGGTCCCTGTCTGGTGGAGTACACAGCCGAGTGGACGACAGACCGCATTGCCGAATGACAGCATGGCTTCCTGTGTGCCCGGGTCCGAGAGTTACCAGAGGCTGCGGTGCGGGTCTCACCGGCAGGTGGAAAAGTGAGGGAGGGTCACAGGGGAGGTGGCATAGGAGCTCAGGGATCCCCCACAGGAAGGGGAGGGTGCCCTTGGCAGGAGGGAGAAGGAACACAGGCTCAGAGGTAAGGAAGCAGGAACTGAGTGGGGTTCAGAGTGGCTGGAGCAGGGGCTCCGGGAGGGCAGGAGGTTGGGGCTGTGCTGACAGGGAAGATGCTAGATGGAGGATTCGGAACCTCATTTGTGGACAGTCGGGAGCCGAGGGAGGAGAGAGTACTTGCAGTTCCAGAGCTTTGGCTGTGATATAAGGGCTACCCTTCCTGAATGCCCACTTGTGCCCCGCACTGTGCTAATGATAATAATAACTATGTTCATTGATCACTCACCAGGCATCGGGCTCTGCTTCTCAGAGGTTCGGGTATTTAATCCTTCTGGGAACCCAGGGAGGGAGGTGTTACCATTCCTATTTATGGGCAGATTAAGGTACGTGCTCCACGTCCCGCTGCTAGGCAGTGGCCAGGTCAGATTCCCGTCCACGGCTGCCTGCCTGGACGCAGAGCCTGCCCTCTTCTCCATTACACGGTGCTGCTTTCCTGGGTGGGAGCCGTGGGGAGGGCAGCCCAGGTAAGGGGAACAGCCTGGGCACAGGTGCGGCCTGGAAAATGGGCCGGGTGTGGAGGGGGCAGAAAAGAGGAAAGAGGGTGGGGACATTGGACTGGGGCCTGGTGGGCTGTGGTTGCCATGGAGGCCAAGTCTGAATCGGATCCCTGAGAGCCAAGACAAGCTTGGGGTGCTGCTGAGGTTGCCCCCAGACTGTGTCTAGGGCAACCAACGGTTGCCAACCGGTGGTCCACCAACCACTGGTGGTCCGTGAGGTCCGAAAAGTTGGCGATCGCTGCTCTAGGAGGAGTGAGCAAGGGCGACAGGTAGACAGAGGTTCTGGAGATATAAAAACCTGAAGAAGAGGCTCTGAATACAAGCCTGACCTGGACATCATCCCCAGTGGAAGATGGCTGTCTTAGGGAGTGCAGATTCCTGGGGGGGGTTGGGGGGAGGACGGCCGCCCCAGGCCACACAGCCAATTGGAGCACAGAGACCCGACCTGGAGCTATCGAGAGGACAGAGGGCCCCCATGAGTGGTGAGAGGGGGATGTGATCAGCCTTGCTTCCAGAGCAGCATGCTGCCAGAGTAGGGGAGCCCCGCTGGGGATGCTGGGGCGGGGGTGGTATGGAAGCATGGTGCTCCTACACACACACACACACACACACACACAGAGCACTAGGAATCCAACTCTACCCAGTGGCTTTCTCTCGACCCAGTTGGGAACATCCTGGTCCCAGGTCGAGCAGGGAACCCCAGACTCTGGAAGAGAGACGAGCAACGGGCACAGGCACAACCCCGAGGAGAACTCAGAAGTGGTGGTGGAGGGGATCAGACCCCTGGTCTTGGCCCAGCTCTGCCCTTTTCCACTCCTGGAGTCTCCGTTTCCTCAGTTGTTAAATGGAATAAAAGTCCCGTCACCAGGTGGTTGTGAATTATGGAGGGTACCTGTAATACAGTAGGTATTTAATGTTCTTTCCTCACCTGTCTCTTCTTCATTCCCATGAGAAGAGACAAGGCTGGGACAGTCAGGACTCCAGTGAGTGGATGGGTGTGTGTGTGTGTGTGTGTGTGTGTTGAGGCAGGTGGAGTCTGAGGAAGGCTGAATCTCAGTTTAGGGACACCGGAGGACATGCTAGGTGGCCTTAGGGAAGTCGATGAACCTATTAGCCTCAGTTTCCCCATCTGTACAATAGGTAAAATAATGATATCCTATTTCAAGGGTTTTTTTGCAAAATTAAATGAGATCCTCTATGTCCAGCTGCTAGTACAGAACCCCAGTGAGGCTCGGAGTAGCTAGGATCAGAAAAACGCAGCTTGTTGAGGCTCCCAGGGGTACTGGGGTCTTTTGTTGGCCTGAATTGCCCACTGGTGGCCGTGGACAGCACTACTACCTCCTTTGCTGGTGTACATTTCAACTCCATCCCCGTCAGGAACAAAGATTTTATACTCCAAGACCATGAAAATGAGGCACAAGAAAGAAGGGTGGCATTCCTAAGGACATCGACCAATTTATTGAGCTCCTCCTATGATCATCATCAGCGCCAACAGTCGCACTGTTGTGCCAAGCAGAGCTTGGGCACCTTTCTGAACAAGCATCTGGTGCTCACGTTGGGCAGATGTTGCTTTGGGGCAAGACAGGTGTGGCAAAGCCAAGACAGGCAAGGAGGGGATGTGGATTCCAGGTGCCCCCTTCTCCCCGCATCCTCTCTGCACAACACTAGGGGGCAGCACTAGCCAGTCCACACTTCACTGACGCTGACATCCCTCAGAGTGGAAACAATTGTTAGCCCAGTTTTTCTGCCAACACTCAGAGAGGTAAAGCGACCCAACCAAGGACACAGCCAGTAGGCGGTGGAGGCCAGATTCACTTCAGATGGCCTGACTTCGCCTCCACTCTGATCGGGGGACCCTCACAATACTCCCCTAGGTCACAGCAGGGCCCCAGGCACTTTCAGAGGCTGTGCCCCACCCAGGCCCTACTCCAGTGAGACCATCCAGACATACAAGGTGGGTCTCAGGCCCAGCTCTGCCCTGGTCAACCTTTCTAGGTCGCAGGCGGCTTTCTCATCCACCAGACGCCCGCCAAGCAGCAAGAAATTGCCAGGCCCCTCGCTTCCTTGTGCTGAAAAAAATGAGGCTCAGAGATGTTTAGCGGCTGCCGCCACCCACGCTCCCGACCCACGGTGAGTCGGTGGTGGTGCAGGCACGGGTGGGACCATCCGAACCCAGGCTGCAGCCTGCTCGCCGGCAGCCGGTGTGTTCTGCTGGGAGAGCTTGGCCGACTCCAAAGAATCTCCACCCACTGGCCATCGAATCCAGCGAGGGCGGGGGAGCCGCATCCTCCCCGTGGTGCAGGCTTCCACCGGCAAAGAGCTGAGGTCGGGAACTGGGAAAACCCCAAAGGAGGTCGGGGTCGGGGCTGTGTGTGGGGCGGGAGTGGAAATCCCTGGCGCTCCGTCAGCGACACCATGCCGCCCCGCCCGGAGCGGGGACCTGGCCAGCCCGGTCTGCCGGCGCCAGGCCGCGCGGGTTCCCGCCCCGGCGCGAGCACCACCTACGGACAAAAGGCCAAGGCCGCGGGGTCCCCACCCCCAACCCCCGCGCGACCCCAAAGCACCGGGAAGCGGGGAGCCGGCAGGCCGGCGGAGCACGCCTCGGCGCTCCTATTGGCTGGAGGTGACGCCCATCTGGGTCCCGAGGCCCGACAATTGGCCGGTGGGGGAGGAGTTCGCGGAGCCCCAATGAATGGGGGAGCCGGAAGCAGGAAGTGAGTTTGCGATCGGAGCCGCGGCAGCAGGTGAGGCGCGGCGCCAGGGTGTGGGGTCATAATGTGTCATCCTCGGGGGACAGGGCGAATCTGGACCGGGTGCAAGACCATTTCCTTTCTCCCCGCCCATCCGGTACCCCTTCTAAAGCCATCGAGGCCCCGAGCGGAGGAATGCCCCTGGCAGCAAAGGGTTAACGCCCCTTGCAGAACCTGGGTGATTGTGCTTTTGGGGCGGAGCATCGGGGCGGCGGGGGATGCTGGAGACACTTCACCCGCCAGGGCGGGAGGACGGTGTGGACAATGTCCTGGGTTGGGAGGCCCCTGGGTGCCTACAGGCTGTGAGATCTTCGTAAGTTACTTGGTCTCGCTAAGCCTCAGCCTCCGTATCTGTAAAAAGTGAGTTTTCTTCCAGCGCCGAACTTGGGTGGCTCTGTAGCTCCCCCGGCCGAGCACAGGGAGAGAGCAGCAGGATGCAGGGGACAGATCCTGCGAGCACTGAGAGAGGAAAAGGAAAAGGAAAAGCATTAACTGCTGTAGGTACATTACGTCAGCGGTGACCTTATCTAATTAGCACGCCCACCTGGTGAGGTTGGGGTTGTTACCCCCGCCCCTGTACAGAGGCGGAGACCGAGGCCCAGAAAAGTGAAACAGTTGACTTGATTTTAGGAGTCTGGGACTGAGCCAGGGTTGGAACTGGCTCTTCCAGCCGGTAGCCTGGGGCTCTGTCCTTGTGAACAAGGGGTGAGTGGAACTGAAGAACCTGCAGGAGAATTTTGAAGGCCAGGAGGTCAGGAGGAGCGGGTAGCCAGAGAAGGATGTGGGCTGGGAGTCTAGAAATGCAGGTCTCTGCTTCTGACCCTTCCCTTGTGTTACTGGGCACAGCTCCTAACCTCTCTGGGCCTCAGTTTCCCCATCTGTAAGACTAGCTAGTTGGATTCACTATTTAAGGTTGAGGGGCCACAGGCCAAATATGGCCCACCAATGTATTTTGTAATTTCCTTGGGTGAGTCACCTAACCTTCTCGGAGCCTCAGTGAGCACATCTGGTGAATGGGTACAATGGCATTTCCTTCCTCATGGGCTTTGGGGAGGATTAAATGAAATCAGATGCGAGTGCAGAGCCAGGGGTGCAGTTGATGTGGTGTAAATGACGGCTGTGATGATGGTGATGGTTCTCAGCAGGACCCATGGCGGACACCCAGTACATCCTGCCCAATGACATCGGCGTGTCTAGCCTGGACTGCCGCGAGGCCTTCCGCCTGCTGTCGCCCACAGAGCGCCTCTATGCCCACCACCTGTCACGCGCCGCCTGGTATGGAGGCCTGGCCGTGCTGCTGCAGACCTCCCCGGAGGCCCCCTACATCTATGCCCTGCTCAGCCGCCTCTTCCGTGCCCAGGACCCGGATGAGCTCCGCCAGCACGCCCTGGCTGAGGGCCTTACCGAGGAGGAGTACCAGGTCAGTTCTTTCAGGCCAACCTGCATTTCGTAAATGGTCTGCGGGTGTGAGGGACCAGGAAGGAGGGGGATAAAGGTCTTTCTCTCTCTTTGGATTCAGACCCAAAATTACAAATACTGGAGCCTCAGCCTTCTCATTTGCAAAATATGCACGAGGGTAGTCTATACCTCTTAGGGTTGTGGTGACCTGCCTCCAAGATAAAGTTTGGCTGCAGTGATTATAACAGGGCTGTGAATAAAAAAAACAGCTGGAGATTCAGAGATGGTAGAGGAATGAGGCCAGGGTAGGAATCAGGTCTGTGTGTGGACCAGTCCCTGGGCAAAATACTCTTCCTGTCTCTGGTTTTTGTTTGTTTGTGGGCCGGTTGGCCAAATAATACATGAATGCCTTCTTAATGTGTTGCAGAGGTCACTCATTCTCAGTGCCTTTCCCAGAGGTAACCACTGAGGACGGGAGGGTGGACGGCCTTTCCAACCCTCTGTGTCACAGACTCCCACACGTACATGTGTACGCGTCTCAGTTCCTTATTTTCTCTTTTACATAAATGAGATCATTTTC